TTCTATTTTCCTTCTCTGTTATCCAGGTAACTGGTAGACCTTTGAGTAGTGACAGGAGTAATTACAATAACATTTATTTATTCCATCAAGTGCTCTGTGCTATCCTAACCAAATATTTCAACATACATTATTCTCTTCAGTCCTTATAAATGTCCTGTGAGGTAGACATGAGATCGTTACATAGTAATGGAGGCAAAGTACTACAGTGAAGTAATAAGGTTTTTGTATCTCAAGACTAAATTTTAAATTTGTCCTTTAGCTACCTAATGTTGACAAGATTAACATGTGAAAGAACTAGTTTCCTTTTATCTATTTAAAATGAAAATGAACTTATCTCATATGCTTAGTATGATTTCTATGCAAAGCAAAATACATTGGGGAAATATAGTTTTAGATTTCATGTTAAAATGGTATATTTTAATTTATTAAAAAATTCTTCCCATCCCACACTTCAGTTTGTTTATAGTTCTACAAGAACCTTGGCATATATGGGGATCTCAGTGTAGCTTTTTTACCTCATGAAGATCCGTGGCCAGCCTTCCTGTACCCGGAGGCTTTTGATTCCTCCCCCATGGTGGTCCATTATCAGCTCAGGCTTATCACACAGCTTTTCAGTACACTCCTTAACTCTGGCCCTTGGGGTTGCCCTTACTATCTCAGTCATATATTTTGAAGGGTATTTATTATTTTTTCCATTATCTCTAGAAATTTTACAGAGGGAGAATTTTCAAGTAATCTAGGCTGCTGAAATACCAGAAGAGGAAGTCTGTGGAAGAAGCAGCCATGTGCCCTCTTGTTTAATGTCTATACTCCCTGTGAGGAAAGCAAGAAAGGGATTTTCTTTTCTTTTTTTTTTATTTTTATATTTGCAGTACTGGGGATTGTACACTGAGCTACATCCCAGGCCCCTTTTGAAAATTATTAAGGTTTTGTTTTCTTTTTTACATTTTGAGACAGGGTCTTGCTAAGTCACTAAGTTGTCCAGACTGGTCTTGAACCTGTGATTCCCCTGCCTCACACCTACCACATATATGGGCTAAAAAAGCAGCTTACATGTCTTGGCCTGGACACACGTAAAAGAAAATGCATTGCCTAAGAATTTGTTATGATGAGTTTCCCTTCACATGGGTTTGGTGTTTAAGTTTATATTTATCTTATTTCATTTCTAAGATAAGAAATTAGCATTAAAAATGTACCTAGTAAAAGAAATATAGATGATAATTTCACCAAAGATTTCAATTAAAAATTATAAAACATACAAGGAAAGAATCCACCATGTCAGCAGGAATAATAAATAGCAGAATTAGTTCTTCCAAGAATCACAGAATTATTGAATACTATCGCAGCCAGATTCTAGCACTGTGGATGCAATATCTCCTGGTATCCATGCCCTTTCATGCTCTCTGCCTTAAGCATAGGCATAGTATGTGGCTTGCTTCTGCTCAACAGAATACAGCAATGGTGATGATCTGTAGGTACAAAGTGTACATGAGTACATTTCATTAATGGTAATGTCTATCTTGCTCCCACACTCTCCTCCTTGCTGTCTTATAGAACAAGCTGCCACGTTGGACGCTGCCCATGTGGCACCTAGATGAAGGTGGCCTCTGGCTCAAAGCTACCAGAAAACTTACCACCTTAGTCTGGTAGCCTGCTAGGAACTGAATGCTGCTGACAGCCATGAGACACTGACCTGCCCCAGCTGAGAAACCAGCCCAACCTTGATTAAAGCCTGGCAGAGAACCCAGAAAAGTGTACCCAGAATTCCGACCCACATGAACTGTGAAATAATGCATCTGTGTTGTTTTAAACTACATTTGTGATACTATTCTACAGGAATAAATAACACAGCTACAGACTTTAACATGTTTGGAATGATTCAAGACATAAAAGACAAGACTGGACATGGTACATGCCCATAATCCCAGCAGTGAGGAAGCCAAGGCAGGATGATCTCTGCAAGCTCAAGGCCACCCTGGCTACAAAGTGAGTTCAAGGCCAGCCTGAACTTCATAGTGAAACTATCTCAAAAAAAGTTAAAAAAAAAAATAAAGACAAAATCTAAAAAGGAGATAAAAGGAAAAAAACACCAAGAAGATACATTAAACACAAATATAACATTTAATAATAAAAACATAATTCTTAAAATGATTCAACTCAATGGTTGAAAAGTTAAAAGAAATCTGAAGAAATAATATATTAAGCAAAAAATTAACCAAAAATCAATCTACTTCAATTTACAACATACAACACAAATATTAAAAGATTGAAGAACTTGAAAGAGAAGTTAAGAGAATCAGAAGATGTATTTGAAAGCACCAACACTGACCAGACAGAAAATCCAGAAGGACAGAATACAGAAAATAGAGAAGTGGAAAGAACAACAGAAATAACCACTAAAGATTTTCCAGAATTGATGAAAACGATGGTCCACAAATTCTAGAAGCAATTACAGAAAGCAGCAGTGGCTGGGTCTGTTTCATTCTGTCATTGTTCTCTCAAACCAAAGCAAGCATACAGGATCAAAAAATGTCTAGAAATCAGGTGTGGTGGTACAGACCAGTAATCACAACACTCTGCGATGCTGAGGTAGGGGGATCACAAGTTTGAGCCCAGCTTTGGCAACCTAATGACTTAGCAAAACCCTATCTCAAAAGGGCTGGGAACATATCTTAGTCTGAAGGCTCTGGGTTCAATCTCCAGTATTAAAAAAATAAAAGTATAATGCCAAGCATGGAGGTGCAGGCCTGTAATTCCAGCACTTGGGAGGCTCAGACAACAGGACTACTGTGAGTTTGAGGCCAGCCTGGGCTACAAAGTGAGTTCAATGCCAGCTTGAACTGCATAGTGAAACTGTCTCAAAAAGACAAAAGAAAAAAAGTATAGATATGTACAATCTAGTCTCCAAATTTTAGCTGTGGTGTAGGGTACCCTTCTAATTGTGCATTATCCTCTCTTGAAGCTGTGTGGTGACATGTTCAGTGTATGCCCAAGACAGTAGATCAAACTCTTGGACTCTGTACTCATGATAAAGTTACTGACCTCTTCTATCAATCTGCTGACAGATTTCTGTACTATTTCATGGGACAGTAAGACTTTGGGACATGTGCAGAAAATCATGGCAGTCCCTTGGAATCAATTCTTGGTCGCCTAGCATACAACTCTTGGTAGTTGCCTGAAAATGAAAGAAAGTTTGTAACAACTTTAACATACTACCAGCTGTCAGTGGCACTATTGACCCCCCCAAATCTATACTGTAAGTGCACCCTCAAAGAAAATCATATCCTAGTTCTGTTGTAAAGAAATAAATAGTATTTTATACTGTGAAACAAACCTGTGAGATTATGATTTTACAAGCAATTGCTCAATGTGGAGACACAGACTCTCTGGATAAGTAAAAGCTAAACCAACTTAGCAGTTCCTCTTTAATAAATAAATAAATAAATGTAAATTATCTAGAGATGCAAGAAGAAAATACATAAAAAATGGACACAAATTTGCTCTGATTTCTCCACGCTCATTGCTAAAAGCAAGTATCTCCATTGTTCCCTTTCTGCCACCCTGCTTTGACTCCCCAAAATGGAACCTAAGAGAAAAGCTGATAAGCCTTGATACTCTCCAAACAGAATAATCCATCTCAAAATAACCTAAAACTGTGTCCTGTTTTACAGCCATTTACAGCTAGTTTAATAATACCACTATTAAAAATTAGTAAGTCTACCAAGCTCAAATAGAAATTCCTTTTTTTCACAAGTGCATGGAAATCTGGTAATTATTAACAACAATAACAAAAAAAATCACATTTCATTAAGCAGCTGAAGATTTTTGGAGGAGTAGTCTTTGTAGTAGTAAAAACATAATAAAAATAATGGATGGTACTACAGCAGACAGGGCCAATAGGTTAGGAGAAGAAGGATAAACAGTGAATTGCAGGTAAAGGATTAACAAGCTGAACAGTCAACTGTGTGGTCTCAGAAAATGGTACTGGTAAATCAGAGATTAATTTCATGGAGACATCTGGGCTGTATGGGAGCTGAAGCCCTTATTCTCACAGTAAAAAGTACAAAGCTCTGTCACTGATTTATAAAACACAGTTATTCATGCCAGAGTCAGGGTGGTGGAAGTAACAACAGACATCCAGCAGTACAGTCTGATGTCCTGAATAAGATTATAACATAATAAATAAAGCAATGAAACTGGTTTCTTCAGTGTTTGAGGGGAGATCCATTGGAATGGGTCATTCTGAGTTATAAGAATCACATAAGTGATCAGATAATACAGAAGTGATTAGCAGTTTTCTAAGCTTGGAGACCCCTCTCTATAAAAGATCAGAAGAATCTAAGAATAAAAAACTGAACAGATAAGTCAGCCAGATTCATAATTCTGTTCCTTTTTCTCCTTTTCCCCCCTCTAAAGAGGCCACTCTCTCTATTCCCTGTTACAGGGAACTTCCTGTTCTTCCTCCTCTATTTTGCTTCAGGGTGGTCTTGAAACATTCTCTGCTCCACCCTTGGAGTATCTGCCTCATGTGGCATGTAGCACGGAAGCCCAGGCGCCTGAATGAGGCCTATACACACAGCCAGTCAGCAGCAGCCCCATACAGCCAACAACTGACATCTGCAGGAGGCCCAGTGGTCAGTGCTGCTGCTCCCAGTCACTCCAGTGATTCATTTCAAGTCTACTCAGTCATCCAGAGCCAAACCAAAAAGGTATAAAATGAGGGGGGGGGGGGGCGAGGTGTCAGACGTTCTTTATTGGAACAACAAGTAATTGAAAGCAAAGAGAAAACAGAGCAAAGCAACTAAAACAGGTAAAACTGAAGACCCACAAATTAGATCTCAGAATAATATTTTACTGATACTTAAAGTTACTCATGGCAATAAGTTAACTGCTGTCTTTTTGCCTGCAATCGCAGCTTTCTGTTGTATGAGACTAAACACTATTTTCATTTCTCTGTGCACTAAGAGTTTCACATGCAACCAACATTATTTACTGCTTACTTGTGCTTGTTTGCATACTTTAAAAGGCTGAAGTGTTTCTTGGTAGAAAAGCTGATGATAAGCTTGTAGGTCAAACCAAAAGTACACACTGTTCTTCCACAACTGCAGACGGGAAAAGTACATAATTACTACCACCCAATTATTAAAGCTCTACAAAGCTCTAATTTCAAATATAAATAATTGTTTAGCTCTTTGCTATTAACATAAATCTGGCTCCATTTAAGATTGTTTTAATCTGCTATCAATGAATGACAATATACAAAATATTTATTAGCACTGTCACCTGAACATTGTATTTTTGCATGTTCACAATTGATTATTAAATAGTAAGTGTTCTAATTAATGGTTAAAGAGTAATCACATATTGCTGGCATGAGACCAATATCTGAGGATATTTCAATATATATGGGCAAATGTACATCCTAGCAGAAGCAAAAGTATTTGTGGCACTTAAATATTTTCATTTAAACCAATAGTTTGTGATTTTAAAAAACTGGAAATAATTTTCCCCAACTCATAATTTTTAGAATTAAAAGTTAAAGAACTGTCAGAAATCAAATATATTACATTTGGATAAAATTATATGAAAATAAACTTTTGTTAGTAATACATGTCAAACCTTTATCTGTATTTTACTTTTTTGTCACTTTAGTGGGAGAGTGAACCAAACAGGATTACAATTGAGATGTTAAAATTTGTACTAAATATCAAGTACATTGGTTTTCTAGCCAGAGATGGAAATTTTATTTAATTATAACTATCTGAAGCACTGAATTATTTCAACACCACTTATTTTTAAATGAAGCAGAATTATAAAATTAAACCTTAAAAAATTATTTTCTACCTTGTTTCCTGAATCCTCACAGAATTTAGTAAAGAAGAATCCAGCTCTACTTTCTACATAGAGAGATTGCAACAAATTTTCCATGTCAAATCCTCCCAAGGCACCAACATCTGATATGGTTTTAACCTATGTAACAAAACAGAAGTCCATTACCCCCCCCCCCAAAAATCATAATTTTTACAACACTGTACAAATGGGTTTCATAAATTCTGCAGCCTGTCATTTCCCACCAGACTATTTTATTTTATTTTTGTATCATATACATAATTAATGCAGTATGTTTGCATCTGACTGTCATATAAGATTCATTTATGGAGACCAATTATGGAGCAGCAGAATTCATTCTATTATAAACTAAATTGATTTCAAACTCTATGTTAAAGTGACTTCCCAAACTCAATTATTTTCATGTTTGAGGCACAGTGATACTATTTGAGGAGTCTTCCAAGTCTCTGTTGGTGGCCTCTTTCCTACATATTTACAGTTGTTTTAGCCTTGAGGTGCTGCTATTACAGATATGAGAGTCATAAAAAAGAACTATCTTCAAGGCCTCTCAGTGCTGCTCATTAACTGTCCTTAGGGGGTCCCTCTTTGGACAGTCTCACCCCACGTAGGTCATGGCCTGTGGAGTGTAAATGGTAGTACAAGTTCTCATAAAATTCTGTTGTTTATGACTTCTCTGCCAACAATGCTAGCAACCCTAACACTACCCTTCAAATAGAAAGCCGACTATTTCTCCAAGTGCAAGAATGAGTTCAGGATACGAAAGGGTATATCTATTGTGCATATGAACTCTTTGGTATTTGTTCTGTGGAACTCAGACTTCTTTGTAATCCTTAGAACAACTGTGACATGAACAATTTAGGGTTTAAGTCAGCCTCTTGTTCTCTGTTATACTTTCTGCCTCTTACTTTTGTTGTCTGCTAAACAATTCAGAAGTGAAAATTTGATGTTCTTATGATGCTTAACTGTCAGCACTTCAAACTAGAAAATCACTGTTTTAGTAGGAAAAAATACTAATTAGAAGAAAAGAGAGCTATTTGCTTATGATAAAATAAGTCATTATAAAAATTTACAGCTAAATGTTGACAATATGAGTCTACTGAGTTTATATTTAAAGTGTAATCCTTGGGAAATGTGAAATCTTCATCTAAAGTGATACATTAAATCCATATTTTTAAGGTAGTTTTAATCTAGAAATATCCTATCTTTTTAAAATTCTAGATTTAAAAAATGTAACATGAAATATTGTTTTTACAAAGTGTTTAAAATTTAGCAAAATACTAAAGGGTCTTATTTAGTGTCTTAAGGGTTATCATACCAAAACCAGAACCCAGCTGTTTTGGAAACTAGTAATCAACACAATATTAGGGATGATGATACTATAAAGGGAAACACAGAGGCAGTTTTAATGTAAAAATTCTTTTGCCAGGATATAAAATGTGTTCCTTAGTAGAAAAAAAATACGAGTCAACAAAGTTTTAAAAATCAGGAATACTAATCAATTCAATGAGAATACGGTTATTCAGTCCTTGAAATACTTACTTTAGGTTCTTCTGTATAAGTATATTTCCTGTCCAGCTGGGGCTTCAGACATTCAGAAATGTCAGTAAAAGATGTTAAACGAATAACTCTGCTGCTTTCTGACATGCGCCTTATCCTAGATCATAGACATAAGAACTAAATAATCGACCAACAGACAAATTTTGAGTACAGTCAGTAAATATGTCATTAAAGAAGCTCCTCAAAATGATAGAGATCTATGAAAAGCATATTACTAACATCACACAAGTGAAAAACTCACTATATAGTGCAGGCTGGCCTTAAACTCACTACGTAGCCCAGGCTGGCCTTGAACTCATAACTATCCCCTTGCCTCAGCCTCTTGAGTGCTGGAGATTACATGCATGTGCTGCCCTATCTTCATTTCTACTCAGCACTGTGCTGGAGATTCTAGTGAATTAGACAATAAAAAGAAATAAAAAGTATGCTGATTGAAAAGAATTAAAGCTGTCTTTATTTCCAAATGATATGTAGAATCAACCAAAAACTACTGGAACTATTATACTCAGTAATATCCCATGAAGCAGGATAAATAAGCAGAATGCAATTATATTTATGTATGCCAGGAACTGACAAACATAAATGATATTAAGAAAATATTTCTTAGGAAAATATTTCTTAAGAAATATTAAGAAAATATTTCCAATCATAATAGAAACACACAAAAGAAACACACAAAAAGATATTAAATCTTTAAAATCACTAATATCTGGAGCTGGGGATTTAGCTCAGCGGCATAAGCACCTGCCTTGCAAGCAAGCGATCGTGAGTTCCATCGCCGGTACCAGTAAAAAAAAAAAAAAGAATTCAAAATCACTAATATCTGACATTCTACTCCTGACTTAGAGTATGTATAATAAGAATAAATCCTTAATACATATCACTGGAATACAAGAACCCACAAAAATCATATTCAATTTCCAATTAATTTCAACATCTTCAAATATTTTACCATTGCACTAAGAGCCCTTCCCACACCCAAGTGACACTCACTGTCTCTCAGTCCCAGCATCCCTCTGGGGAACTACAGATAGAGATTCAGTCTTCCACGGGTTCTGAGTTGCTGTTTTGACTCTAGTTGTTTTCTTGAGAGATTTAGTATGTTGCACAGAACTGAATTCCTCTTTCTAAAAAGTATGAAGATAATAAAATGAAAAAATGAGCAAAATTATAAAAGGAGAATCAAGCACACTTCTGCATAAACACCTCAAATCTGTTTTGATGACTAGAATATTTCTTTTATTCTACCTCTTACCATATTTTCCATTCAAATAGAAATTCTCTTCTTCCCTATATTTCAATTTTATATACTAACAGAGGGAAATCCAACAATTGAGATAAGAGCCAAAGGCTTATCATATGTCCCAGTCTCTACTACTGTCAAACCAAACTCTTTCTTGGAAGAATAATTCAATGGAAAATTTCCTTTGTTCTATACTGAACAGGTTTTCCAACGTGGGATTGGGAATACTCTTGGGCAAGTAAAATGAAACAAAGATACCCCTGGCCCATAAGCAGGAATCTATACCCAAATTTCCTTTCATTTTGGGATGTAATTCTCACAGTTATTTCTCTCCATTTTAAAAAGTTTTTTTATGCTGTAAAAGTTAAATAACTTCAATCTAGAAAATAAGATGGTACATGCAAGGAGCAAAAAGTAGAAAAAACTAAAAAGTCCAATTGAAAGAAAATGATTATATAACCATGGGACATGCACAAATGTAACATTATATAGCATTTTAAAATACTGGTTATGAAAATGACATACATGGAAAAATACTGATGATGAAATTAAAAGAAAATACAAAAAGAGAAGTGCACTAAAATAAAAAAAAATCACAAAAAGCCTAAGAGAAAATAAATCAGTAGTTGTATAGAAGGTGGTGATTTGTCTCTAACTAGTTTCCAAATTGATAGTAATTTTACTATTTATATAACTTGAAAAACAAACCTTTCCATATGTCAATTTCCATTAGGATGTTATAAATACTGACAAAGACAAGGATTGTATTTGTGATGTTTTACTATCCAGAACAAACAATAAAATCTATGTATACTTTACATACCTAATGACTAATAATTTTTAGGAATTCTATAAACAAAATTAATCACTTAAGTTTGTTGTACTTATAATTTCCTAGGCTCACTTCAGTTTTAACAATTCAGGACACAGTAAGACCATACACAGCACTCCATAAATGTCCAGTACCACAAGAGGCTGTGTATGTATGAGGTATATTACACAAAAGTAGTAAAAAATAATTTTTTTAGTTGTTTTTTGAGACAGGGTCTCACTTTGTAGGTTAGGCTACCTTGAACTACGTAGCCCAGTCCAGCCTTGAACTTGTGACAAGCCTCTTGCCTCAGCCTCTCAGAGTGCCAGAACTATAGGCCTGTGCCACCACACCTGTTGCAAAATAGTCAAATTTATAGGAAAAAAATAGAATAGCAGTTTCTAGAGAATATGAGGAGACAAAAAAGGTTATTTAATGGTATAGAGGCAGATTTACAAGATGAAAAGGTTGTGGAGATCTTTCATAAAATTACAGACATGTTTAACACTACTGAAGTGCTAATTTCAGTTAAGAAGATAAATTCTGTGTTTTTGCCAGAGTGAAATTTTCTTCTTTAAAAATTGTTCAAGTGTATTATCCAGACAAATGTAGTGTTTTTAAGCTTGCTAGCCTGGTGAAATCTAGGAGACTAACCAGAAAGTAAATCAAAGCGGGGGGGGGGGGGTGTCAGATGACAAAAGAGCACAACAGAACTGAGCAAGATGGGGTTTAAAAAAACTGCTCTATGTCATGACTGTTATGCACAGAACCATTTAACTACATACTGAAAGGGAACACTATTTTTTAATTTTTTAAATAGGAAAAATAAAATGCCATTGAATTCCATTCCTTCGAGTGTTTTTTGCAGAGGAGAGACAGAGTCAGATCAGAATGTACTGCGTAAGCATAAACCATCAGTAACAACAGAGGGTGATAATTCTCAGGAAGGCAAACAAAGATAACAAGTCATGTTTATATCACTTTTCCACACAAGCTAACCTTTCTTCATTCCTTTGGCACTATTCACTTATTCAAGTTCATTGTCTTAACCACATCACTAGTTTTTTCTTCCCCCTTATTTCAATTTGATGTTTTTTATACAAATGTTTACAAGTTATTAGATGACATTTGCACTATGGCTCCAAAATGTGTGTTTACCTGTTGACTAGGTCACTAAGTCATATAGATGAACCAGGAAGACTAATCAGTTGGTTGGTATACAGTAAGAACACAAGATGCCAGGCAGGTCAGGGAGAAGTCAAAACAATGGGTAAGAAAACACTGGCATATTGAAGAGACACTAAAATGTGGACCTCATAGCAGCAGCAAGATGATCACCAGTGAGGGAATGGCCAGACTGCAAAAGGAGTAGGCAGTGATGAGGGGCATGGGTTGTGTGCGCCATTCCACGTAAGCGTGTTGACATGCAAAGAGTCAAGGATAGCTTCCTTCAAAGTACTAACCAGGCCTGACCGTGCTTAGCTTCCGAGATAGACAAGATCAGGCACATTCAGAGTGGTATAGCTGTAGACAGATACTCAGGCAAGCAGCTAAAGGAAGTGAAGGGGCCATGTGGGTATCTGGAGGAAGAGTGATACAGCAGGTTCAAAGCTGTGGAAGTTTTGCGTGGTGTGTTCAAAGAAGAGCAAAGAGACCAGCGTAGCCAAGTGGAATAGGTGAGAGTAGTAAGAAATGAGGTCAAGAGGACGACAGGGGCCTGCACAGCTATACAGCTAGAGACTGAATTTTACTCTGAGTGGAAGAGGAAGCCACTGGAGAATCCTGAGCAGATGAGTAATGTGATCATGTGTTTTAAAAGGATCATTTTGACTGCTTTGTGGAGAACAGAATGTTGGTTTTCTTATTTCCTAATTGGATCACCATACACAAAGCTTTTGATAAAACAAAGTATTAATGGGCAAACACTCAAGCATGGACATTGAACTATACACCTTTTTTTTTTCTTTTGGAACTGGGGATCAACTTCAACCTCATGCTTGGCAGGTATGTGCTTGTACCACTGAGCCAGCCCTGAACTGTACACTTACTAGAGATCAAAGCATCCATTGTATATCCTACCTGGATCTCTGATATCTGTGGATTACAAGATTTAGGTCTTAATGGCAAGAGCGTGGCCATTTGTGGAAAAGGGTCAATGTCCTTCCTTGGTTTCTCCTGTCGGAGGTGCCAGAATCTCAATTCGGCACTAGCACTGTTTGTTGAGGATAAATGAGTAATACAGAATCTTGGTGCCCTGTTTATTATAAAAACAACTTATGGTTAAAGGAATTAAGGTTAAACTAGAAAATAAGTCTCAAAAACCTACAAAATATACAACAGTTGTGTTGTGCTCACAATTATCAATCTTGGTATACCCCCATTTTTTTTTTGGTACTGGGGTTCGAACTCACAACCTCACACTTGTCAAGAAGGTGCTTGTGCCACTGAGCTAAATTCCCAGCCTTTTCTCCTTTTTTAATCATTTCTTTTCTTTTTCTGCTTCCTAGACTTTAGAAAAATTTTCTATATGTCACTGGCTGCAGTCCCTTTTTCTCAGATATAAAAGCAATATACATGTGGAAACAATCAAAAAATCATATTCAGATTATTATATTCTTGATATGAAAAAGAAACATTTTACATAGAGATGGACACATAGATGAAGGAATTTTTAAAATAGTTTCATTTCTACTAAAACAAAATTTTCTCTGATCATTTTAAAGCAATTTAGTATTTATGAACCAAATACAAATTGTTACAATAAAATTAGTATTTTAAAATATATAAACATTTTATAATGCCCAAGTATACTACTAAAGTGGGTTACGATTCATATTATCTATTTCAAGTCTTAAGTTTGAAGGTAGGAATTAATTTTATAATAATTTATGTAAGTGAAAAGTGTACTCTCCTGCCAGACACTTAGGAGAAAGAATGTTTGGCACAATATCAAGGCCACACTTAATTGGATGGATATTCTGGCAGTCAATCTGTGGGTTAACTCTTCAGTTTATTGTATAAAAGGTTAATGTCAGCTGTCAAGGCCTGCAGCTAATTGGTTCTTGGACCAGGCCTTCCCTCTGAATTCCATAGTCAAGGACTAATTCCTCTTCCACAGCACAAGTCTGGTAGAAAACTGCTTCCCTTTCAAACAGGAAAAAGGTAGATATTTTCTGAAATGTGAACGCAGGTTGGGGCAGGAAAAGAATCCAAAGTTCATGGTTAATTTAGGATCAGAAAACATTCTATACAGTGTGAGTGGTCATTCTATCCTATGTTTCTGCACTTTTACTTGCAGACTTGGAAATACAAATTTAATTATGTCACCAGAAGTGGGTATATCTACAAGATTCACCAAATATATCACATATGTGATGACCAGGAAATCTAGCTGCCTCAATTTTCTGATTCACATTACTTAAACATAGTCATCTGACTCCCTAATTTCTACTGTTTTTACCATTTTAAGTTTATACTCTTTATTTCATATATATAGTATTAATATTTGGTTAGCCAGTATGCAAATTCAGCTATTATTATAGGCCATTTCACATTGGCTTTTAAACTAGTATTATTTTTAATGGTACCATTATAGAAGTTCTTATGTACACTTGTTTCCTCTGTGTGTGTGTGTCTGTGTGTGTGTAATAACCAAATTTTGGAATATAATAACTAAACACTGGAAACAACTCTAATGTCCTTCAATTGATAAGTGAATATACAGTATATTCGTATCATAGAATACTACTCAGGAATAACAAGGAACAAACTATTGATGCACACATCAATACAAGATGCACACATCTTGGACAGATCTCTAGAGAATTATGCTGAATTTGAAAGCTAATGCCAAAAGATTACATACTGAATTACTTTTTTATTATTGGTTTCCAGACATTAGGGATGGAGGGAAGAGACAGAAGTGTGTGGTTATAAATAGGTAAGTTAAAGCATCCTGTGGTAATGTATCTGCTCTGTATCCTGAGTATGGATGAGCCATGATTTAATGACAAAATCATATGGAGATAAATAAATATACTCACAATAATGAGTACATATTAAACTAGTAAAATGTGGGGAAAAGTGGATACATTTTTTTTTTTTTTTTTTTTGGTACTAGGGATCGAACTCATGACCTTGTGCTTGCCAGGCAGGCATTTAAGCCACTGAACTAAATCCCAAGCCCCCAAGGTGGGTACATTTTATCATTATCAGTTTCCTCACTGTGATGTTGTACTACAATTATGTAAGATGCAACACAAACCATCAAGTCAAGAAGAGCTTGGAGTGAAGTGTTTCAGATCCTAAAAGGGAACAGCTTCCAACTCAACTGATGTACCTTGTAGCATTATCTTTCAAAACTGATGAAAAAATTAAATAACTTCCATGATAAAGAGCAACTGAAGGGATTCATGACCACCAAACCAACTCTACAGAGGGTCCTGAAAGATATTCTAGAAAGAGATAAAGATGACCATGGTTTCAGGAACAGCAGCAGAGGGAGATTGACAAACAGGGCAGGCAATTGAATGAAGGGGAAAATCAGGGGGCCAACAGCAGGAAGATAGCATAGCAGAGATGAACCAATGCATGTTGGTTGTAACCATTACGTAGATGGCCTTAGGTCGGCAGTAAAAAGAAACAGGGAGAATGGATCAAGAAATAAGATCAATGTGCTGTATAAGTAAAACACATTTAACTTGAAAGGAAATTAATGGACCAATGGTCAAAGGAGAGAAAGCAATTGTTTCAACCAACAGGAAACCAGAAAAAAGCAGGGGTAACCTGCCCATCTACCACAGAATGGATAAGGAAGATACGGTATTTTTATACAATGGAAAGCTACATAGCTATAAAGAAGGACAATCTTGAGGCTCTTGTAGGTAAATGAATGCAACTTGAGATCATGCTCATAGGTGAAATGGTTCAGATTCCCATGCAATAAAATTGAGTTATTTCCCTAGCATAAAAAAAAACTGAAGGAGTTAGTGGGATGTACAATATGTACAAAATGTACAATAGCTATTGTGAAAATGATAGGGGAGGGAACATCTAAAAAGGAAAGGTGGTAACCACTGTTAATTTCCTATTGTCTTGTTTTGAATTCCTGTGTCATTTTCATAGTTTCGTTGGGTTTAGTTTTATTCTGTCTTTTCTTTTTATTTTACTATGTCTGCTGGTATGGGCAGCTATTTTGAAGATAATGAGATATATTATGGTAGCCATTGTTGATTTCCTATTATCTAGTTTTAAGTCCTGTAACACTTTTATTATTCTGTTCTGATCAGCTTTATTCTGTTTTATTTTCTTTGGTTTTATCCTCTTTAAAATAAAAAAATTATGTGAGATGCTATCACTGGGAGAAACTAATGAAAGGTACACAATATCTGTATTATTTTTTAAAACTGCATATGAAACTACAATTATTTTAAAACAATTTTTATTTTTATTTATTTATTTATTTATTTAGGTATCAGGGGACAAACTCACAATCTTGTGCTTGCCAAGCAGGTACTTGCTCAGATGAGCTATATCCCCAGCCCCAAACACAAATTTTAATTTAAAAAAGAAGTTACTTCTGGCCAGGCGTGGTGGTACAGTCTTGTAGTCCCAGCACTAGGGAGGCTGAGGCAGGAGGCTCACTGCCATGTTGAGGCCAGCCTGGGCTACAAAGTGAGTTCAGGGCCAGCCTGAACTGCATAGTGAAACTCTGTCTCAAAAAGACACAGACAAAGAAAGAAAGAAGGAAAGAAAGAAACAGAAACAGAGAGAAAAGAAAAGAGAAAGAAAGAAGTTACTTCTGTCTTGGTAATGTTTTATTAAGTTGGGTGGTGTGTATATAGGGACCCAATGTAGTATAATTTGTACTTATTTGTATGTCTTACATATCAAGAATAGAATTTTAAAAAAGATTACTAAAGCACACTATATATAGAAAATGATGAAATCTACATGGAATCTGGAGCACCTAGATAGGATAAGGATAAAGATATTCCTGAAAAGTGCACAAGGAATAAATCATGATGATTTTACTTGCTAATTTAAAAGATCCAAACTTCAAACAGAAACTTTTAGGGCAACCAGTGAACTTTAAAGCAGAGAAGTGATGAGATCCAACTCAGTCATTAGAGACAACTCAGTTGACTCTCAAATGGCACATACCTTCTTCACTGTGTCCATACCCTTTTCCTTTTTTCAAGTTCCTCAAGTCCTGTTCTTTGTATATTCACCACACTTTATTATACTGCTTTCTTCTGGTGTACCTCTCTGGACTTTAATCTGTAGACTTGACCAGTTTAACTCTTTATCTTTAGCACAGTATTTGGCCTAATGTAAGTGCTTAAAAATTTTCCAGTGAAGTTGAGCATGTCTATAATTCCAGCCTTTGGGTGGCTGAGGCTCATTGCAAGTTCAAGGCCAATCTGGCTACAAAATGAGTTTAAGGCCAGCTTGAACTGCAAAGTGAGACCCTGTCTCAAAAGAAAAAAAAAAAAAAGACAAAAAATGTCCATTGAGATGATTGTCTGTTCCTCTAGCTATATATACACACATGGGTACACATACACATGGGCACCAATTTTACGGAATGTTGGTCATAAAAAGATGGGAGGATGTGCTCACAAAGTTAAAAGGGAACTTAAGGGACCAAGGATATAACTGAGTGGCATAGCTCCAGCCTGGCATACACGAGGTCCTGAGTTCGATTTCCCGCACTAAAAAAGAAAAGAACTTAAGTACTGCCCAATTTATAGATTTAAAGTCACACCAAAACTCCAATTACCTATAAGGTAAGTATTTGAAGGAAGGCCAAAGGCATAATAATCTTGTCATTTTAAATTTCAACAAATTATATATCCATATGACAAAAGGTATTACTTATTACTAGCCTAAGGGAAGTGAAAGTAAATAACTTTGGTTCTCATTACTCTTCTCTATATGTAAAAAAAAGAAAAAAAAATAACTTTGGTTCATATTATTGTCCTTACCAATACAGAAGTAGAGGTTTTATGACCTCAGATTGAATATTTTTTAAATGTTCTTCAGTCCACTGAGATCCATCTAACAACTTAAGTTTTGATAAGATTTCTGTAGAAAGGTAGCACTCTCCACTGCTCACTAGATAGCATTTTTTCATCTTCTCAATATGTCTGAAATAAAACACATCCATATATATGCACAGATTGATACAGTATTTTACTACCCACAAGCAAATGTTTCAGACAAGTAATGAACTATCTGAAAACCAACACTGACTTACAGGAATACTGAACATTTATTTCTATGGAGATTAAAATACTTCCAGTTATAGTGTTTACAATAAATTGAATGGCCTTGCAAAGATGTCTATATCCTAATCTCCAGAATTTGTAAATTTATTACCTTACAAAGTAATAGAGACTATGGATGGGTTAAGTAAAGACATTCAGGAGATTATCCTGAGTTACTGAGTAATAAGAATCCTTCCAAGCAGGAAGGTCAGAGTCATAAAGATGTGAATGTCAGAGAGAAAACAAGATGTTATGCTGCTGGCTTTGAAGAAGGAAAGGACCACAAGTCAAGGAATGTAGGTGGCCTTCAGAGATTGGGAAAAGAAAGTCTCTTCCTAGAGCATTCTGACCCCAGAAATGTAAGAGAATAAATTTGGCTGCTTTAGGCCATTGAGTATATGGCAATTCACTATAGAATTTTTCTGAGGCCCTCAGTGCTTTTCAATGAATATTAATATATGTTAATCATATATAAAGTCCATCAAAAATGTATATACCAAGAAAAGAAAAACAAGTAATATTTTAATACTAAATTTATATAGACATCATGAAATTAATACAAGTTAGCTCTGCCCTCTACCATTACAAGAGGTACTCAAAGCAGTGGCCATTAGCTTCCAGACATTTTTAGTATGGTAAACTAATGAAATGTGTATACATTTTTTGGTAGCTCTGTGTACATATATTCCTTTTATCTGTTTTTCTTTTTTCTTTTTTTGCTTTTATTTTTTGAGACAATGCTTTATTATGTGGTTCAGGCTGGCCCCGAGCTCACTATGAAGCTGAGGCTGGCCTCAAACTCATGTCAATCCTCCTGCCTCAGCCTCCTGAGCACTGAGATTACAGGTGTGTGCCCATGCCTGACTAGCTCCTTTTAGTGTTGCCTACAATATTGTCTATAGGGTTAGACCCTGAAAAGCCTCTGTAAGCTATTTGCATACAACTTCTCTGAAATGTCTTTGAAAGTGGTAGTGACATTTCACCCATGATCAATCAGGTCATACTTCATAACCATTTGGGGACTCCTGCTCTTATAACTATAAGCTCTGTGACCTGAATGCCATGAAAATAACAAATATTCCAATCACTAGTATATACCTAATGAACCCTGTGATTTGTATGCTATGAAATAACTGAGTTAACCCAATCACTACTATATACTCAGTCAAACCATTAATAAGAACTGCACTCTACTATTCTGTATTACACGTGTAGATGAAATCAGGACTTCTCTAACGAAGTCTCCTCTTGAGAGTCTTAGATGTACAGTAATTGTAAATATATGGAGTTGGTCAGATGAAGACCTGAGACCTATTAGACCTCCAGGATGCTCTTTGGCAGACAGACTCTTTAAATATTCAGCTATGCGGAATCCTACCAAAGATGGAATTTGTTAACCAATCAGGCTGCTAGGAACACAGGTCCTATCTTATGTGAGTGTGGTCATATAAATGATACTTTTTTGATGAAAATTCTGTATCACTGAGGTATAAAAATTTAAGTAATTTTAGAGCAGTTCTAGAACAATGGGAAGAAACAGTATGCAAATTCAAATAATTGCTGCTATTGGTACCTGTACACTATGAAATCAGAAGACTTGTGAAGTCAAAATTTATTATAACTAGATAAATGTTATCATTAATTATACCTCCAAAGGTATAAATTACATTTTTATATTTACTGCACTTTCTGCCTGTGATTAAAACCCAAACAAATATTCTATAATTTATTTTAAAAACTATACTAAAAGTAGAAATACCTTTGATGTCTTCCAGGGTCTTTAAGAACTTTTAACCGCTCAATATCCATCCATAGCCACCAATACCTCTCCCCTAAGGTGCCCTTCATAAATTTCTTAAAATTTTCAAACTCCTTCCTATTGCTGATGTTGTAAGTTCTGTGAGAAATATTCCAATTACCCTTGCTCTCAGATCCAAAGCTGTCCCTCTTTAAACTGTTCATTTCTAATGCCTCATGTGACTTTCCCAACCAGTTCCTTGGAATTGGTTCCAGGAGAGATTCAAAAGGCTCATCAACCACCACTTGTCCTACATTGTTGAAATTTACGTAGTCTGAGCTTTCTTTAAGTGGCTCTCCAATAATTTTCTGAATGGCTGCTCTCAGAATAAAGAATACATAGGAATTTAAAAATTCTTCATATGTTGAAAAATGCAGTGTCAGGCTTCTGTCAAATGTATCATGTTGCTTTTCAAGGTATATTCTCAGAAGAGCTCGTGAAGGAGTGTCTTTTACAGATGTAGACCCTTCTTCATCTTCTTCCAATTCAGAAATTAATTTAGTGGCTTTAGATGAGCTCTCTTTTGTCCTGGGGTGAACTCCATCATCAAAGATAAAACTCTCTGCATTAAATTATAAAAGGGTATTAGGTTAGATATGAATACAAAAATTTTTATTATTAACAGATGCTATAGAGTTGGCATAACAAACTAGTTTACTGCAAGTAGTGGCTGAAAGGATCAGTATCTTCAGAAAGATTCTGAAGCCATTTTTGGAATCAAGAAAAACTTGCCAACAGGGATAATCCTATCTTTCCTAGATGTGGCAGAAGGACTAAATATTTGACATGTCTAACACGGAGGATATTAAAAAAGATATCATATTCTTTTAAAATGTAATTATTTTAGGCTGATATAGAACAAAATATAAGGGCTAAATCTATTAATCAAAAATATATTAGACAATTATATATGCTTTAATATTTCCCACTGTATGATAAAAGAAAATTAGTCAACATATGGCAAAACCTTAGACAAACAGGCTAGAACTGGAGTCAATATCAACAATTTTTAAGAATTTGCTATAAAATTTTGTTTGTGTTTTTTTTTTTTTTTTTTTTGGAGACAGGGTCTTGTTATGCAGTTCAGGATGGCCTTGAGCTCACTTTGTAGCCCAGGCTAGTCTCAAATTCACAATGATCCTCCTGCCTCAGACTTCCAAATGTTGGGATTTCAGGAGTGTGCCACCATATCTGGCTAAAAATTTTTTTTTAATTTTTAAATTTTAAAAAATTTTTGGTACTGGGTATCAAACTCACAACTACACATTTGCAAGACAGGTACTTATGCAGCTAAGCTAAATCCCCAGCCCTAAATGTTTTTAAAAAATAAAAATTTGCTATTTTATAAGAAAGATACAAATACTGTCATACAGTCTCTGATTAAAGCTAAAAATTAGCATAAAGTACCTGTGAAGGTTACTGGTGGATTATTTTCACTTTTTCCAAAGACAAGAGTATTCTGTCCCTATTTTCTGTCTTAGAAATCAGTGAAATATCAGATGCGAGCACTGTGTTTCACACAATCAATCTACCTTAGGAAATGTCATGGAAAATGCCACAGGTATTGTCTGTGTCCTATTCCCCATGACCACTTTCTTACCTGATTTCAAATTTCAATGCACAGGAAAAGATTTTGATATAAATTTATGGAAAATATATATAACAACTCCACAATATCGAGTGATGATTAGATTTTGTAAAGCTGTGAAGGCATACTGGGCAATTCTAACTCCCACAGAATTGGAGGGTGGTAGAAATCAACACAGACATTTCTGCTCACCACCTCCTGGTATCACTTCTCTTCCTCTTTCCATCTTTACTCTTCAGTTTTCTACTTTAATATTTTGGGGAAGGCAGCAAGAAACCTACAAATACAGCTATACTCAACTAGGGAGATTATGTTCCTCTTTACCTGGACTTAGGTTCAATTCTAGAGAATCCAGATTTGTCTTCCTCACTGATGGAATATACTTTTCAGAGCGGTTAAAGTTAAGAACTCAGTAAATTTTAAGATTCTTCTTCTAAATCACATTTATATTTTTTTCTCTAATAATATCATGACTCATTTCTGGCAGGTTCCTCCTACTTTTTATGAGAAGTTAATGTTACCCACAAAATCTCTACACAGTGATAATATATCTGCTTTTCCATCTGAAAAATAGTCTGAACTCCAAAACTGAAGGGAAACTCGGTTTTCATCAATGACTATTTACTTTCAGGAAGAACCAATATTGTACCAATTTTATTGCTTAATAAACAGGCTTAATAGTAAGGACGTGTAAAGTAGGAAATATATAAAACAAACATTTATTGACTGCAGATTAGTAACCAACAACTCAGCCAACTTTTCCTACACATTTAGTGTGTATCATTAGTCTGATCTTACAGATGCGGAAAGCAAGTCCCATAGCTGGATGTAGTGGTACACATCTGCAATCCCAGCATTATGGGAAGGTGAGGCAGGAGGATCAAAAGTATGAGCCCAGCCTGGGCAACTTAGGGAGACCCTGAATCTAAATAAATAAATAAAAGGCTGGAGATGAAGCTCAGTAAGGCAGCCCTGGGTTCAATTCCTAGTATGCTTAGGTATCAGAGCTGGGTTCTAAACTCATTCTCCTTTCACAGAACCAATCTGTCTCTCAAAAACTACATGCTGTCCTATGAGATTACAGCAAACACAGATTTAAAGAAATCACTCTTATCCTTTTCTGCTTACCAGAAACAGATGAAATAACTGGTGATTCAACTGTATTGTGGGGTACACAACAGGGTAAGGAAAAGGTGGAGATCACTTGCTCATTTTGTTTTGCTAGTGAAAACCAATCTTTAGTTTGAGTGTAAGAAGCCTAGGAAGAAATGGATATATTAGTTTGACGTAAGATTAACAGTGTTCCTCTAGTCACAAACCTGAACGAACCATTATAATACTTAATTTGTACAGTATAATATTTAAAGGAAAAATTATGATATGGAAAAAGAAAACCATACTAGAATTCATTATCTAAGAAAATAATGGGATGGATACTTCAGTCCAGATTTTTCATATTAGATAACTAAAGGAAAAAAATGAGCCCAGATTCTTCTTTACTGCTCCTCTCAGGCTATTGCTGATCAAAGCAGAGCGTGAAATCCTATTCCTGGATTCACTACATAGTCCTTTGACACATCTTTTGTGAGCTGCTTTCATTGCAAATTTTCCAACTACTCCATGATCTCAATTCTGTCTGCCTTGACTCAGTGATTTGTTTGTTTGTTTGTTTTTTCATCTCCTACCCCAGCCCACAATAGACTATTCTCAGCATTCTGTAAACCTCTCCCACCTCACCTGGCTGTTTGCTTCACTCAGCTTTAACAATTTTGCTTGGATTGGATGCTTTCTATAAACTAACTCCTATTTCCACCTGCTCACAAATGCAGACTTCAGTTTTTCCCTTGCTTTCTGTGTCCCTGAGTCAGCTAACCTAATTCCCAACCTGATCCTTTACTTCTAGAATTCCAGTCTTAAGAAGCGCCTAACCCACTTATCCTGGGAGAATTATTCAGCCTGTCTCTCTCAGTAAAGCTCCCTATTTTTCCCAAAGAATGCAAGTTGTTTAATGGGAACAGAGAAAGGAGTGTCCAGTGTTCTTGTTTCTTCTTTCTCCAACTGTCAGCTGATTGGCACTTAGCTTCATACTTGCAGAAGAGGCAAAGCTCAAATGGCAGACATCATGGAGTACAAATTTCTCTGACAGCAGTTAACGCAGGTAATGCATTTTACTACAAGGAATTATCTAGACAGCAGGAGGAGAAGGCACAACTTATCTTTTGTACAAAAGTAATTGAATCCAAATAATAATTTTGAAATGAATAACCAAACTAGGGATATAATGCAAGTTGCCCTTGTTTCCTAGGCAATACTGAGCATATTCTTCAATCTTGCTTTTGTTATTTCGGACACATGATATAATATTTCTAATTTCACTTAACGTTAGCATACAGAGCAAATGAGTCAGCATAAATCCAGGAGTTACTGCTAAACACGCTTTAGAAGTATTTTAAATCATTTTCTCTGTGCAAGTGTTACAAATGAAATGCCTCTGAAATAAAAAGTTTCCCAACACAATAATTCATATTTTTACCTCGCCAAGAGAAATGTAGAACTTTTTCATAATTATAAGATTGTCTTCTTCAATAGAGGCAGGTGGCAAACTGGGTGGTTTCCTCAAGACCCATGGAGAAAATTTTGTGCCGATTGTGAAACTCACACCTGACTTGCTCCATCTTACTTGGGAGACCAATTTGGCTAACCTACATTGTAGAAATCATAAAATTTCACTAAGTTTCAAATATAGTGAAATTCAGAAAAAAAACTAACGTTTTGAGTATTTATCAAGACAATGTCCCCTCTTACCTCTTAGGATGGATGATTCTCTTAGGTTCTACTAAAATTAATGACTTATTCATTAGAACTGTTCACTCATAGAACAATTCTTTAATTACTAATTTTTATTTTAATCTATATTTTAAAATAGCTGATGAGCAAAGGTCAAATTTTAGTATAGTTTCAGAATGCGTAGGTGCTTGACACTTTGTAAGGGGACATAAAGGAAAAACTAGGCTTTGTGCTGATACTCTTTTTAATGCATTAACATTCATTCACGAACTCCTGCACACAAATACCATTATCACCAATATATAGGCCAGTTTAAAAAGTATATCAATCAAAGAGATACAGTTGAAGTACATTTATTAGGTACTATTTCTGTGAAATCCTTTTGGAAAAGTTGAGATTTTTTTTGCAATGGTCTGTATTATTCTTTATTATACAACAAGTAGAACTCAAACTCCAGTGGGTTGAAAGCTATACTATTTTACTAAGAAATCACAGAAAAATAATATTTGGTGAGAAAATAAGCTTTTAAAATATGTACACTGATGGAACTCCAGTACCTGTATTCAAAATAGCAATCACTCTCCAGAAATGCTGGAAGTCTTTCTTTTTTGATCCATTTAATCCCTTGTTCACGACTGAGACACTATTAGGAGAAAATTTTTTTTAAAAAATGTTAAAGAAAAACACATTTTAGGACAATGGAGGCCCCCTCATGAGAGTAACTATGAGCTCTGCTTATCTCTCAAAGCTATTTTCCCATGTTTTATTTGCACAAGAAGGAGAAATAATCCTGAGTCATAGCTGTGAAACCACTTCTTGTCTCTGGTATTCCTTTAATTCTCTCAACAACTCTGTGTCAATTATTATCTCCATTTTACTGATTAATAAGTTGAATTTGGGAAAGTTACGTAATTAATTGAAAGAAGAGGAATGAAAATTAGCTAATCAGTATTAGTAATTTTAGGGACACCAAACGGACCAAATAATTATACTGGGATGCTGGAAAAGTAAAAGGGGGTGAAAGAAGAGGGAAAAGAACTGAAATGTGTTATGTACATGTACCAATTTCTCACAGGGAATGCTATCATCCTGTACTGCAAATGCAACAATAAAAGTAAAAAAGAATTTTAAAGGGGGAAAAATAATTGCAGAGGAAACATCACCAAGGAAACATAGGCCACCAAGGTCACTGTGCCCTTGTTCTTCCAGCCTTAAATTTTTGGTTGAATGTTTACTATCCCTCGGCACTCTCCTGGGAACATGAAGGTTAACAGGAGGAAGGGTGCTGAAGGTGCCACAGTGTAGGCTGCTGTGGAACACTCCTGCACTCTCGCCTGAAGCATGACTAGCTAGCCTGAGGAATGGAGCAAGGGGAAACCAACGTGCATAGCAGGGTTAGATCACAGGACGCCCGGTGAGGAATGGAGGGAAGGATGCTTACCTGTGAACAGTCTCAAGTAACGTTAAGGAGTTTAGATCCTACCTTGAGCTGAGGAGTGCAGTATAAAATTACCGAGGAATTATAAAGTTGCTATTTATCCTAAAACTTTCACTCACTATTGATTCTAATACTTTTTCCAGAATTCTTTTGTTTAGTGCATTTGCAGTATGTATTTATATTGTTTGTGTGGAGTTGGTACATGGACATGACACACCCTAATTCCTTTTATCATCCTCTTTCCCTCCCCTCCCCTCTCCATTCATCTTTTGATCCCTTTCCCATTTGAGAAAGATCTATCTCTTTACTTCCTGGTATCTATCTTTTATTTTGCTCTTTATTTATAATTTGGGTTTCTCACGTAAGTGAAACCATGAAATATTTCAACTTATGTGTCTGATTTGTTTCACTTAACATTAGGGTCTCAAGGTACATCCATTTTCTTAAAAATGACTCAATTTTGTCTTTCTTTATGGCACAGTAGTGTTCCATTTTGTGTAAATACTTTTTTTTCCTGTTCATCTGTTGATGGACACATTGGCTAGAATGCAATGTAAACAAAAGTTACTTGGGGCTGGGGATTTAGCTCAGCAGCATAAGCGCCTGCCTTTCAAGCAGGCAGTCCTGAGTTCGATCCCTGGTACCAATAAAAATGAAAAAGACCAAAAAAAAAAAAGTTACTAATTGATAAAACAGCAAATAAAATACAGTGTCTGCACTGACATGGACCATCTCTAAAAGTAACATCATGGTCCATACCTGGACCATTACTAACTCTAATGAAGAAACTGAATGGCCACACACGTGTTGCCAGAATCTGAGAAGCTGGTGTTCATAACAGTGGGTGTGTGCTCAACATTGCTGATATGTACCACAAAGTCACTGGGCTTCTGTGACTAGTGAACAAGGCACACAGTGGCTTCCTCTTACTCTGTAAAAACATGTTTTTCCTCAGCAGACATGGTCTTTTGGGCAAGGAAAGAATAAAAACTCTGAAAATAGCTGGCGCCTGAACAGGAGCACCTTGTGAACTACTTCACTGCTTATCGGAGAGATGTGAATGGTCTGCCTAGAAAGACTCCACACACTCCACACACCGTGTAGGGATACACTGACAAGCAGAATGACTCTTATGGCTTCATTAGCAATGCATTCAATACATTAAGATATAAAACTATATGTAAAGATCGATATACTGTAAACCCTGGAAGATTGGCAGACTAGTCAAAGTCACCCAAAACCAATTTGCCAAGTATTTAACTAATGAACTACTCAATTTTAAGTCTTTTCTTTTTCAAATATTTTTGCATCTATCTGACCTAAAAATGAAATAAAGGGCTTAAGAAGAATAAAGTAAAAAACTGAAGGAAAGTCTATATCCAAACTGCCAAAAACAAATAAATAAAAATACCCTTTGAGATACATAAAAGAAATATAAAGAACAAAAAAATAAACAATTCTGTTGAGGCAGGAGATTCGGGAGTAGCACTGGCTGAGGAAGTGGGTATAATCTGTTTATTACAAAAACAGTCCCCAAACCCTGCACATGGAAATAACCAGACATCATGCTGTCTTCAGTTCTTCTCAGAACTCCAGCAAGTTCTCCACAGGATGGCCTGGACCTGATGTCAGCGTGAGGAGGGCGAGATATAAAAAGCAGCCACAGCTCTCTGTTACTGTGTCCTTTTACAGTAGTCCCCTCTCACGCTGCACAGTGGACCTCTTTTGCTACTTTTACTTGGCCCAAACTCACTCAACAGAGCACAATTCATTTCCTACTTTAAAGTTTTTTGTTGTTGTTGTTTGTTTGTTTCTTTTTTACCTTTTTGAGACAGCTTCTTGCTGTGCAGTTCAAGCTGGCCTTGAGCTCGCTTTGCAGCCTAGACTAGTCTCAAACTCACAACAATGCTCCTATCTCAGCCTTCCAAATGCTGGGGTTACAGGCGTGTGCTACCACACCTGGCTCTTTTCCTACCTTTAGTAAATGTAAAACCTTGATACCTTTTGTGCTTGTCTTGACCAATTCTTTGCTCAGGACAGAAAGAACCTAGAAATCACCTCTAGAAGAAGACCCCCAAACCATAAAACAAGTTAATAATTAGAAAAAACAAATATAACTTACTTAAGGTAAAATTATTTAATCCTGAAACATTTTAAAAAGTTGGTTAAAAAACGAAATGAAAAAAAAAATGAACAGGTTACATGGTGGTGTATGCTTAAAGTCTTAGCCCTCTATAGGAGGCTGAGGCAAGAGGATCACAAGTTTGAATCCAACCAAGGCAACTTGGCAACTTAATGAGACCCTGTCTCAAACAATGATAAAAGGGGCCAGGGAAGTAGCTCAATACAAAATCCTCAGCACCACACACACACACACACACACACACACACACACACAAATCAAACAAACCAATAACCCTCTCCAAAACACCTTAAAATAACCAAAAGACCAGAGGAAACTGGCTTTATGATATTCATTCTATGATGTTCTTTTTTTTAATACTAGTTTTATTTTTTATTAGTGTATGCTCGCAATAACAATAATTATGTTAATTTTGGAGCATGTATATAAAATATTACATCTTTTCATTTTTTTAGTAACAGGGGTCAAACTCATGACCGCGAGCTTGCAAGGCAGGCACTTATGCCGCTGAGCTAAATACCTGGCCCAAAATACAGCACCTTGATCACATAAAAATTTCAACTTTTTTTTTAATTTAAAAAACAGAAAAGTCAGAAAACAAAAACAAAAAACAAAAGGTATAAACAATAACAGCGGACTCAAAACAGTAACAATACAGGTCTTCAAAACAGAATGAAAGAAATATAACAAAAACTTCAACTTTTTGAAATCTAGTTATTCTCTGTTACATTCTTTGACCTGTAATCTATAATTCCTCAAGAGAATCATTCTAGAACTATATCTAAATAGGCATACATAAGTTGTCTACAATGTCTACACTTGTATTAATAAGTTATGTATAGCTGTACAAGGAAACCAAATAAAGCATGGCCATCAACCATTTGGTCATATTTATTAAAATATAAATTATACACAGTAAAACAAAGCCTTTTAAAGTATACAATTCCAGATATTCTGACAAATGCAGATAATCACATAACAAGGATCATAGCCCAGACAGAGAATAGCTCAAAGGCTTTCCAAATTCCCTATGCCACCAGGAGTCAATAGCTCCCTTCTATCCCAGGCCCTGGCAACCACTAATCTTTTCTCTGCCCTGATAGACTGCTTTTTCCAGAATGCCGTATAAATGAACCAACAAAGTACATAGCCTTTGACCCTGGCACCTTTCTTGTAACACAGAGCATTCAAAATGGACCTATGCTCTCCCACATGTCACTAATTCATTTCTCCCCACTGCTTAGGAAATGGGCCACCAAATGGACGGACCAGTTTGCTAACCCATCTCCAAGTAAACAAAAATTTGTGTATCAGCTTTTATGATTGCAAATAAAGCAAATGCGGTCATTCACATGCAGGTTAAATACATAGGAGAGATGGATGATATGGCCTGTGTAACTTGGAAATACAAATTGTTTTCCAGAATGGAATTACCAACAGCAATGTAAAAAAGTTGCTCTACATCCTGGCTAGCATTTAATCATCTTAATTTTTGTTTTTGTGTCTTTTACTGAATCTATTAGGTGTACAGAAATAGTTCATCATGGCTTCTGTGTGTTCACATACATGCTCTCCATCTTTTTTATCCTTGTAGTACTGGGGGTGGAACCGAGGGCCTCATACATGCTAGGAAGTGCACGCTATGACTGAGCTACATCCCTAGTCCTGCATCTTACTAAAAACAATAACTTTACTGAATATAACTCATATGCCATACCATTTACCATTTAAAGTATAAAATTCAATGGTTTTAGTGTATTCAGAGATACATAACCATTACCACAAATTTTCGAACATTTCATCACCCTTCAATAAAACCCCATACTTATTAGCAGTTACTTATTTTGCCTCAACACCCTGCCTTCCTTCCACCACAAATAACCGTGATTCTACTATATATATATATGTATATTTGCCTATTCTGGACACTGCACAAAATTTAAAGTCATATGTGGTCTTTTATGACTGTCTTCTGTCATTTAGCATAACGCTATCAAGGTATGTACAACCCTTTAGTACAGGTATGTATAACCCTGTACTGTATTTTTCAATACTGTATTTCAATACTGTATTTTTACTGCTGTGTAGTATTCCATAGTACAGTTATATCACATATTGTTTATCCATTCATCAAATAACAACTGAATTGTCTACTTTTTGGCTATTATGAATGGTCCTATTATAAGTAAACATTTACATATACATTTTTGTGTTGATATACATTTTAATGCTTCTTTATCTAAAAGTGGAATTTCTGGATCATCTAACTCTGGCTAAACTTTTCACAAAATGTCTGAACTATCTTAGAAATCAGAAATATGTAAGAGTTCTAGTTTTTTCATATCCTGACACTTGTTATTCTTCTTTTTTATTGTGGTCATCGTGGTGGATATAAAGTGGTATTTCATGTTGACTTTGATTGCATTTCTGTTATCACTAATGATCACTGAGCAGCTTCACATAGTGATTGGGCATTTGTCTATTCAAATTCTATTTACATTTTTAAGTTGAGTTTCATTTTATTCAGTTATAAGGGCTTTTTATATAACCTAGGTACAAGTCCTTATCATATACATGATTTACAAGTGTTTCATTTAATTCTGTGGGTTATATTTTCGCATTTTTATAGTGTCCTTTGGAGATTAAAATGTTTATGAGTTCTAAGTTATCTAGTTTTTTTGTTGCTTGTGCTTTTACTATCAGATCTTTTTTAAAAATTCAATGCTTTACTCGAAGTAAGGAAGATTTAAGTCTATCTTAGCTCCTAAAACATATTCTTTCTTATATAGTTTTTCTTGCATCATTTCATTTGATTTGCCTACCTTTAATGAGGATTTTTATATCTGTGTTCATGAAGGACATTTGTAATTTTTTTTTACCTTCTTTTGAAGTTTCTTTATCTAGTGTTGGCATTGTAATGCTAGCCTTGTGAGTTGACTGTTAAATTCCCCTTATTTGATTTTTGGAACAGTTTTCATATGTTTGGTATCACTTCATCTGTAAATGTTTGATAGAATTCACCAGTGAAGCCATCTGGGCCTGGAGCTTTCTTTGAGGTAAGACTTTTAACTATAGGTTAATATCTTTAATAGGTTATATTCTTTTGAATGAGTATTCAAGAAACACATTCCCATCATTCAAGGAGTATATTCATTTGAATTGTTGAGGTTATGGACATAAAAACTGTCATAAATTCCCTTATTTTTCTTTGAACATCAATAGAATCTACAATAACATCCTATTATTTCTGATATTAGTCATTTATATCTCCTATCTTTTTTATTTTTTGTTTTTGTTAGCAATCTAGGCAGAAGTTTATCAGTTTCACTGATGAACAAGCTTTTCTTTTTATTTGCTTTTTCAATTTCACAATTATGTTCTTTACTTCTTTAATTTAGGCTTTAATTTAACTTTATTCTTCTAGTTTCTTATGGTGGAACACAGGTGACTGGTTTGATAGTCTGTTTTCTATTATTAGTGTGTAATGCTATAAATTTCCCTCCCATGAATAATTTGCTGTGTTTCATGTATTTTATTATACTATTTTAATTTTTAGTCAATTCAACATAATTTCTAATTTCCTTTGAGACTTAATCTTTGACTTCTGGGTTATTTAGAAATGTATTATTTAATTATTTAGAAATTTTCTAGATATTTATATGTTATTTATTTATAGTTTGATTCTGGCATAGTCAAAAACATACTTTATATTATTCCAAATCTTTGAAATTTATTCAACTTTGTGATCCATTTTAGTAAGTAATCCATTTTGTACTTGAAAAAGAAAGTGTCCTCTGCTCTTGTGGGCTAAGGTGTTCAACAAACATAAATTAAGACTGACTTGACTGCTAGTGGATACAGAATTGTTATGTTCTTCTGACCTATCTATTGATTATTGAGAGGACAATTTTTAATCTCCCAATACAACTACAAATTTGTCTATTTTCTTTTTCAGTTCTCTCAGCTTTTGCATCATCTATTTTGAAGCTCTATTGCACAGCACTTGTATATTATGGGTTGTTATGCTTTCTTGATGAATTTTATCATGTAATGTCCCTCTTTATTACAAGATTTCTGATTCTATATAACTGCTCGTTATCTTTTAATCAATGATTGTATGGAATACCTTTTTTATTTTTCTATATTTTTATTTATAAATTATTGATGTCTGACATTTGTGACTGGTTGTGTGTGTGTGTGTGGGTGTGTGGGTGTGTGAGTGTGATTTTTTTGAGACAAGGTTTTGCTATGTAGTGTAGGCTAGCCTTGAACTTGCATATGTAGTCCAGGCTGGCCTCAAATTCACAGCAATCGTCATGACTCAACCTCCTGAGTGCTGGGATTACAGGCAATAGTCAGCACGCCTGGCATACAGTTGGTTTCTTGTAAGGAGAAATAGCTGAGTCTCTTTTAATCCCACCCAACTCTAGCTTTTTGGCCATTTAAGTTTAATGTAATTACTGATGTATATTATTCATGTGTCATTATTATTGCTAATAAATATCATTTGCTCATCTTATAAAAACACCTTTCAGCTGGGTGTAGTGGTGCATGCCTGTAATTCCAACATATTGAAGACTGAGGCAGGAGGATAGCAAATCCAGTGCCAACCTGTACAGTTTCAATATGATGAGTTCAAGGCTACCCTGAACTATAAGTGAGATGCTAGACTCAAATAAACAAAAAAACCTTCTTTACAAAAGTTTTTATTAGTGAATATTAATCACTGAGAATACTGGGTTTCACTTTGGCATACTCTGACAACATACTGATTATTTTCACTCCCCAGGACTTCTTTCTCCTCTCCTCCCCCTTTTTTACCCCCTTTCTCATCTCTAAATCTCCTTTCTACTTTCCTGTGACCTTTATAAAAATGGATTTCTTAACTAATAACTTATCTAGTTCAAAATAGATTATTTCCTCGTTTTGCCTTCAAGGCAATGCTTTAATATAGTTACAAGCAGCATTTAATTTGACAAAAATTAACAGAAAATAAATATACAGTATTTAAATTCAGTAACAGAAGAATTGAAGAACTTTCAGACTGCAGTAATGCTATATCTGAAGTTTTAGACACATTTTAGTTTAGACAAAAATATTATTAAGTATTTTCATTGTCATTTGACCTCACAATAAACCTAAATAGTAAGTAGTGAAAACATGACAGATGATAAAAAGTAAGGTTCACCCCAGTGACTTTTCAAGGACACAACCTAGTGAGTTGAACAGCCAATATATAAATCCAGATTTTCTGACCTTAGGCTAAGTGATAAGCTACAGGCTGGTAATAAATTTAAGACTATGGAGGTCAGAGCTACAAAGTGTAACTTGAGGATCAAAAGTCTCAATTTCTAACTTATTAATAGATTGGTTTAAAATCTAAATGCAAGAAACATTTTCTGTATTCCTACATCCTAAAATGCAACTAAACTATAAAAAGATACTTGTCTTAATTACTTTGTTCATTGCTGAAACAAAGTAACACCCAAAGTTAATGGAAGAAAAGCTATTTAGCTTACAGTTTGCAAAGGTTTCAGTTCATAGTTGGATGGCTCTAAAGCAGGGTGACAGGCAGGCAGAAGCCAGAAGTCACCAAGGCAAACGATTTTCTAGTCCACATATCTTATTCAGGCTACCTGCCCTATGGGTGGGTAGCACTCACATCCTTAGTCCTAGTGCTCTTAATCCTAGCATTGCACCATGAATCAATCCCAGCATCATACACTCTAGATCCAGCCATCTCTGAAAAGACCTACCTATGACCACATGAGGTTTTGGGAAGCCATCTAGACATGAAATATATATATATATACTGCTCTAAACAAATTTCACATTTTAAATCTTCAAGGTAAATTATACAACTCTTCTTATACTGATAAACACTGACAAAACTGCTATACTAAATTGGCCATTAATATGAACAAATACTATGTATAGAATCAGCACAAGTTAACATTTACAATTACATTATAATCAGAAAAGGAAGCCTAAGGAATTTCATAATAATCCCATCAAATGGTTTTCTATCTTATAAAATATAAACTCAAATATACTTTCTTACCATAATATTGTAATTGACATTAATGGTCTCATCTTTACTGGGGACATGCATTTTAACAGATTTGACATCATGCTTTGTTTTCCTCACAACATCATAGATGGGGTTTCGAGGTTGTTGGTTTTGTAGAACTTTTTTCAGTTGTTTTTCCAGAAGTTGTGGAGCATCATTAACTACTTCAAAAACTCCATAATCCACATTAAATCTAATTGCCTCTGGAAAGGTCTGTAATACAAATATAAGGAAATTTTTAAAAATGTAAAGCCCAGCAAATTGACTTTCTCTAAAAAGATCTGATATTTGCTATACGTATGTATCCTTAATCATTCCTTCTTCCCTTTTAGAAGCTTGGAAATCCTTAACAGTCGATTTATGCCAAGAGATGTGTCAGGGTATGCTATGGCAGAAATCCCCTCCATATAAAACCTAACCTCTGTGACTCTTTGACGTTAGAGAAATACATATATGTGGTCTCTATGAAGCAGTGTTATCTATTGTCTTTGAAGGGGATGGACCACCAAGGAAGAGTAAGTAATGAAGAAGAAATAATGTTCTCTTTATCACTTTCATGCCCTGGAGCCAGGAAAACTTACAATTTCCTTTTTTCAAAAGGAAAATATTAGCCAAGCGTGGCAGTGCATGCCTGTAATCTCAGCACTCAGAGGGCTGAGTCAGGAGGATCACTGCAAGTGTGAGGTTAGCTTGGGCTAGATAGTAAGTTTTAAAAAAAAGATCCGTCTGAACTACACAGCAAGACACTGTCTCAAAAAAAAAGGAGAAAATTAAGTACAATATATTTTTTTAAATTTTTTTTGAATAAAATAAATCACTTTATTAGAAACACTGGGGACATACTGATAGCAGATAATGAAGAGCAATGAAAAGAGAAAGACAGAGAACTATTAGCCAGTATAAGTATGATAATTCGATGTGATTTAATAAAACAAAAGTGGTCCCCCAAGGCATATACAGTTATTATATATTCTTCATTTAAGAATATTTTAACTCTACTCCTCATGCTATGACAAAAAAGTGAAACAGAATTCATATTCCTGAGTTTTTCTCAGTAATTCCTAAATGATGCTAACTTTTCTTTAAAGCTAACCAGTTAGGAGTCTTGAGTTTAAATGCCAGCTTGCCAATGAACAGTTCTGTGACTTTGGGTAAATCAAAAGTCCATAACCAAAATCAGGTAACTTTTTCAAAATATTTATTTACTTTAAGGTACCTTATGTGAACTGATTCCTCATTCACTGTAATTTATATGTTTAGCTAACTGGTAGAACACACTACATTTGTCCCAAGAATCATTAAGTATCCTAGGTAAAACACTAATTCTTTTAAGTTTTACTACAGTAGTGCTAAATATACTATTGTTAGGACTTAAATGGCAGGATGCTGTCAAACTGAATCTAGAAATACATATGTGTATATATATTTATATTTATATTTATATCTAGATGTCAAATAATATCACATCTCTAAATTTTGGCTCTCTCCAAGAAATTTAACATGTTCTCATTCAACAATGGAACAGCTTGAACCACACGACAGGACTGTCCCATGCCTTATAATGGGACAGCCGTGCATGTACCACAGCCATGAATGTGGTAAAGTGTGTGGATAACAGAGCTCCAGATGAGTATTAGTCCACAATCCAAAAAGTCTCAGAGGTAAGATTTACTCCCCAAATTACAAGTACAGCTTAGTAATTATATATGAATAGTCAGCAGTAAATTATGTATATGATTTCTTTAATAAATATATTTTACTGGTTACCCTCTCCATCTGTCTTTCAAATATGTGATTCAAATCAGCAGCACTTAACTAAATGTCATAAATATTATTCTTGAACTATGATATTAAAGAACTAAACAGATAAAAGAGTCTGCTGATATCAGAGACTGGATGTATCTGGATACAGAAAGGAAATGAATTAAATTTGATAGAGAATGAACATCAAACAGTAACAGGGTGGGGAAAATGAAGCATTATATTATGAAAGACCATATGGAAAAGATTGCTAGCTCTAAGTATCCACGGAACCAGAGAATCGGTGTAACCTTTATTTGTTGTTTTCCCTTTTTTTTTTTTTTTTTTCAGCCTCCTACCCTCAGACCTGGTATTTAGAGTAACATAAAAGTATGATAATCCAAAGCAAAGAATGCCAGATAATTAGTGGATGAAGAAAATAACATTTCCTGCCAATCAAGTAAAAATCCTCAGGTGAAAAAATCAGAGGAACTGCCATACTCTGAGATCCTCAATAATGGTAATGAGTGGAAAGGTACAGCCGGTGGAAAGCAGAGCTAACAATTTCATTCTGCAGGGCTCTCCTCGCAGCAGTCTGGAGGATGTACTTTCCCCCTGCCAGATCCTGAGCTGGGAGCTAGACGGCTCACACCCCATGAGGAAAGCATCATCACGTTGGGGAGGCCGGCAGCTAACACAGAGTACCTTCTGTCACAACGGGATGTAGTGTAGTAACTACTGACTCTGGTACAAAGCAAAACTGCAGCAGATAGTGTCCCAGCAAGTTCCCTAATGGGCCTACTACAGAACTCCAAAGGGACAACCAAGAAACAGATGCACAGCTTGAGAGTTTTAATTAGGGCTTACCATGCATCCAGTAGACCAGTTCATTCAGGATCCATCCCAACCTCCTAAAACGCAGACTTTAAAAACTAAAAATTACATTTTCCAGACGCCCTATAACTATGATTTCACATGTGTTTTAGGTTCTGCTACTTGATTGTACTCACAAAAATATTTGACTTCAGGGGCTGCGAATTTAGCTCAGTGGCTTAAGCGCCTGCCTGGCAAGCACGACGTCATGAGTTTGATCCCCAGCACCAAAAAAAAAAAAACTATATAATATATATGACTTCTGAACCAAGTTAAGTAGTGAAAGTCAGAGTAAATGCATTCTGAGGAAGAAATGCTAAAGAATTTAAGTACATCAGAATGAGAAGGGTAACTGGACAAGAAGAATTTTACAAAAGCACAGGGAGAAACAATGAAAAATTAGGATTATTGTTTATAATAAAAACACAAAATGTTCTTGTTTTTAAAATTGTAAATGTAGTATACATTAAAATATATGCAAGCAGGGCATTGTGGCACATGCCTATAATCCTAGTTATTTGGGAGGCTGAGGCAGGAGAATTGCTTAAGCAATTCTGGGGCATCAGCCTTAGCAACAAGCAGATATCCAGTCTCCAAAAAACAAAACAAACAAAACAATAAGTTGTCACTTCTAAGCTTAAAAATATTTAAGACTTATGAGTCTTTGCCAAGGGTAAATAAGCATTTTCCTATTTAAAAAGCTGTGGGTTAAAGTGGTTCTTAGAAGGTCATCAACACATTGTGATTTTACGATTATAAAAGTGCCACATAACTAATTCAATTCTTCATCCATTTAATTGCTCTAATATTAACAAACAATTTAAAACTTAAAAGTGTCGGTTATTGTTCTAAGCATGAAGAATACACAGGTGAATAAAAAATTGTTTCTTCTCTTTAAGGAACAAGCATATAATGATTTTATGTTGAAAATAAATCAACAAAATACTGAAATGAGGTAAAATTCCTGTAAATTCAAGTGCCAAAGAGGCTAGTGGAATAATGTCCATAGGGACAAGGGGAATGATATTAGAATATTACATCTGGTCTGGTTATCATACTTTAAAAGAGATTTTGCTAAATCAGAAACTATTCAGAGAAGGCTTAGCAGACTGGTTAAATGGAAGAAATTTAACAACTAACTGTACCCTTCTGAGTAAAAATGGACTTTTACTAGATCATCCCAATGTGCCTTCCCTGTTTTATACTCTTATCAGTCCAAAACTGTTTCTCTCTGGGAAAGAGTCTGTATCCTCTCTTATGTAATAAGATCACCCAACTTCAATCTCCCTTTATTATATCACCCATATATTCACTGAGTATTTATTAAGTCATTTTGAATGAAATATGAGTGATGATATGTCGCTAAATTGGGGGACCCAATAAACAGCATCCTCAACAAAGCCCTAACTGAAAGAAATGAAATTTGGATCCTGCCTCAGTGTACACTTAACTGAACAAGAAAATATCTCTGAAATCCTTGAAAGCACTCACAAAGGCAACATTCTCCTGAACACTATTCTGAAGTTGGTCACAACTGGTTTTCTTCCAACATGGAAATGGGTCATTCCTCTTTAGTTCATATTGACCCAAAATATGCACTGTATGTTTAATGCTTATGTCCTGAGACACTGTACGAGGAGATGCGACAATGCTATCAAGAGGCAGGAAGGATGAGACCCAATAAGGGACCAGCAGGATCCTCATCTTCCATCTCACACCCTCACTGGGTACACAGTCATAGATTGCTACATACAACAGACAATAAATCAAAACCTCACACTTTACACCACGCTGGCTCATTCTAAGAGCGTGAATAGTTCCACCCGCAAATAATGCATGATTACAGCAACATTACTTCAACACATAAGCTCATTAGAATTATTTAGAAAGTACTCTGATGGCACATAAGTGTTCACTCAACTATCTTCAGGAAATTAAAGAAGAAGTGTAAAGAAAATGGGATGCTGCAGTTGTGTCTTGACAAATGAACAGACATCAAGCAGACAGAGGAAAGAAGGAAACCCTACAAAACCAAGAGCCAACACATCAAGCCACATAAGCACGAATAATAAGGCACCTTGAGTGAACTGCAGACAGCGTGGCATTGCTGATTTAATAAAAGAGGGGGAAAGAACAGGATATAAGCCTGCAGAGAAAGGCACAGGACCAGTTCATCAAGGCCCTGCTATTACATCCTGTATCTCTCAATGCATTCTCTTGAGTCAGGGGTTCTAGAGTGTTGTCCCTGACCAGCAGCATCAGCATCAACTACTAGGAACCTATGAGATATGCAGAGTTTTGGGCCCCTCTCTAGAATGAGAAACTGAGGACTGGACTCAGGACCCTTCATTTTAGCAAGGCTTCAGGTAATGCTAAAGTACACTCATGTTTAATAAGAATCACTGCTTTTGAAAGAGAGGCTCCACTGAAGAATTTTTAGCTAAAAAAAACCAGGCAGAATCCAGGTTAAGACAAACCCCAAAGCCAGGGTCGGCCCATCCATTCATGCAGACTCATGCACCCATCTAGGTTCTGTACACAGGAGAAAAAAACCTTCTTTTATTATCACCCAGCTTCTTCCTGCCTGTTTCAAAAGAATC